TGACATCTGTCAAACTGAATTGTCATACAAACGAGTTTTGTTTTAGTTAGAAACAGGATAGCTTAAGAAACGCTCTAAGCGCTAGAATTACACAAACCCATTACAAAAGTGGCGTTTTATTTTTAATGTAAATGGGTAACCCTGTACAATTGAATATTATACGCAAAATGTTCGTTAGTTTTTTTTGCAATTTTTTTATGTATTACATTTTTTGTAATTTCAAATTAGTTTAAAAGTTTACTAAAACTTTAAATTAAGTCTTTCCATAATTTATATTATATGTTTTGTAATACTTTTTTTATAGCTTTTCACTATATTAACAAATTATTTTTATTAATTAATTTTTTTCATTATTTTATTTACTTTGCCTAATATATTAGTTTCTGTATTTCAATTCGCGTAAAACCTGTTAAAATAACAAGAAAAATATACTTAGTATTAGCATGAAACTTATGTTGAATTTTTCATAAATTGTAATTTTTTTTTTAGCCACAGAAATTTGCTTATCAAATTTTTCTGAGAATTACAAAAAATTTCAATTGAAGTTTATTTTTACACTTAATTTATTTATTTGATTATATTTTTTATTTTCTTCTCTATTACATTTTTTATATTTTTCATTTAAATTTTTTCTGTTAATTTTCTTATTTCTTTGTGTTGCTTTACTCTTCTTTTTCCTTTTATTTGTCATTTCATTGGACATTTTCGCTGGCGCGTTAAATTATGCCAACTTTGCAAAAGAATTTCAAATTAAAAGTAAAATAAAGCGAAAAGCGTGTCAATGGAAAAAATATGAGAAAAAAATATTATAAATCGAAATTCAAAAGAAAAAATATTATATATGTAAATATATATGCATTCATATAAATATATTACGAACATCAATGGCAACTCCACCGGCTGCGTAGTGGTAACTGTGTGCCTAAACGTCAGCGTTGCGTGAAATTTGAATGCGAATTGAACTTTGTATTTTTTATGTGTCATTTTGTGTGATGAGAGACAAGATTAATTTGGTTTTAATACAAACATACATACCTACATGCATGCTGTGCACTATACACTATATTACATTGATATTTGTGTATGTTTGCTTATTGTCATTGATAGGCTGTCGAAAATAGATATTTTTAAAATATTAAACGAAATTTGAAAATTATTTTTTTATACATTTTTTCTACTGTAATTTAAAAAAAAATTTTTTTTAACCATTTCAGTCCAAAAATTTTCTTTTTTTGCCTTTCACCTAAATATTCCCAATTTATTTTGCACATTTTTAAATAAGAAAATTACATTTACCACCTCTAATAGCCACATCAATTAACACATTCTATAAATAAATGTTGCTTTAAATGTTGCTTCTTTTTGTGTTTTTTTTCTAAAAACCAAAATCCAATAATATGTTGCATTTATTTACACATTGCGCATAATAGTTTAATCTCGCATATTATTGCTTATATGAATTTGAAATCAATTCCCTTCATACATATTCATGAATGTTTGCTGGTGGATTATTATATTATTGCCTTTTTGTTTAATAATTGTTTTAAGCAAATACTTTGTGAAATTATATACGTGTGATTGTGAGTTTTTATATGTAGTTTTCATATATATATATACTTTTGCATATTTTATAAGATAATACCGTTAAATGTGCAAGCTTAACGTTTTAAATTATTTACGCAGATAAAATATTAAATATTCATATTGAATTATTTACCAAAGCGCATTAACGAAATTCAAGCCATAGAGGAAAATAAACATGTAATAGATATCTATATGTATTTTGACCAAATATTATGCAATTCTTGATAACATATATATGTATATTTAAATTTATATTAAGGTAATAAAACACTTTTAAAATTTATTTCAAAGCAATAAAAATTCACTAAATCGCTTTTTATGATTTAATTCAATTGGAGATTTTTGGGTCACATAAAATTGTATGGAAACCCTTCAAACCCTCTATCTAATAAAATATTAGTAAATTTCACTGTTGAAAACCAAGAACTTGATATGTAACCAAGGGTTTTACACATCGAAACGTTGGCGATCCCAAATCGTACTTTTGAATTGTCAACTCACGCCAAAGTATCACCTGTTGGCAAGAGTTGTTCTGTGTTGAATTTCATTGTTGTTGTTCTTATTTCTGGTTTCAAGATAGACGAAGTTATCTATGACTTAAAAATTATGACTGCCAACAGTGAAAGCCAAGACACGAGTGCGATGACTATTTGTTTGATGCCAGGAGATGTTACATCTTGCCCTCGTTCGCTACTAGACATATTCGTTTCGCCTTTTCTGGCCAATAGGATTTACTAGGTCTAAGACCACACTGTGAAGGATCCATAAGTTTGTTGGCCTTGGCCTTTACACTTTTAGGCGATACGTTCGATACTGTTAACTCGGGTAAAAACGAAATGGTTCTATTCACCAGGAGGTATAAACAGCCTCATTTTAAGCCATCTCGACTAAAGAGCGGACGCGGTAGCCCGGGTTCACATGCCGGTGCCACCAATATCCAAAAAGTTATGGAAAATTAATTTAAATAAAAAATTTAGCTAAATTTTCTAATTGCGGCCGCCCCTCAGCAGGGAATGTCCACCCCTCCGAGTGTATTTCGGACCTGAAATAAAGGCTCCTCGTAAAAAAATCATCAACCATCAGAGCTCAGCCGAAAAATAGCTTCAGCGATGGGGATCACCCTCTTAACCGAATTCAAATATCTCGGGGTAATCTTATTTGGCAAACTCAACTGGAACCGGAACACGGCAGAAGCTTTAACTGCACTTAGAGCTTGCAAAAAGGCCATAGAAAAAAGTTGTGATCTAAGACTGCATATCGTGTACTGGGTTTATACATAGGTAGTTAGCCAAATGCTGTTCTACGGCGCCACCGTTTGGTGGCCGGCACTCGACAAAATTCTCTCAGAAGTAAATTATAGAGAGATCAATAATCGTCGTCTATCCTGATACCGAAAGCATTGTCATCAAATCCCTCGAAAGCACTGCTAACTTCTCCTAAGAGCGCTGCAACGCAATCAGATTGTATGCCAGGGAGCAATAGTCATCTTCACAGAGGGCTCACAACTCGATGGAAAAGTGGACTGCAGAATCTATTCTCCGACGGACTTATTAAATATGAGCATGAGACGACTAGACCACGGCAACGTTTTGAAAGCAGGGCTCTTTGCACTTATGGAAGCCGCTGAGTGGCTGGTCAAATCTATGGTAATAGCAGAATCGGTTGCGATATATTCCGATAATCAAGTTGCCATCAGATCTATGTAAAGTAACACTATCACATCTAAACTGGTACAACCAAACCAAATGCAGCAGTGCCGCGGTCTGGATACCTGGTCACAGTGATATTGCAGACAATTGCATGGCAGACGAGCTCGTGAGGAAAATAATTCTTCTATCCACAATAAAATGAGCATACAATTCAGGTTTACCTTTTTCCATCGCAAAGAATATGATTAAACTGTCCTTTACCAGGGAAGCTGATTGAAGATGGCTGAATGAGATCACGTCCAACGTGGCCAGACAGCTATGGCCAAAGTTGGACGCGAAAAAAACAAACAATCTTATGCTTCTCTATTAACATAACGACTCACAGAATAACTGGACAGTGTTTAATGGAGTAAGAGGAGTCTATTGAACTCTATGCGACACAAATTCATCAGAGCCACACTTCTTCAATTGCCTCGGCGACAATTGGGAATCTTGTTGCCTTTATAAGGTACAAGAAATGGTTCGATCATTTGAGCAGGTGAAGATAGGAGCCTCACAACGGTATCCCAATAGGCCTATTGGACTTAGTATGCTGGTAATGACCAGCAGTCGCAGTAACTCAACTCAACTCAATTCTCTCTGAAGGAGCCTTAATGCGATATTTCGGAGGCTACTCACACTTTAATTGGCGTATAACATGGGGCTCCCGTTTGTATAGATTGGGCCAAGCATATAGATGGATGCTTGAATAACTTTGTCGGTAAGTCGTTTTGATGCTTTTTGAGCCATATTTATTCGAACCTTGTCTTAGGTGGCTAATAGAAGCTAATAGAACGTCATTTTCGTCATCATCGTTTGCAGTTTCGGATTCGCCATCTTCGAGTGTTGTGTTCCCTCCACACATCAAGTATGCTGTAGATATCGGTCACACATTACCGACTTGAATCCTGGTGTGAGTCGCCATATCTATTCAAACAATTTTCGAGCATTTCCTTGTCGGAAAGATTCGGTTGAGCTAATTATTAGTCAAGCAATGACATATTTTACAAATGATTTTCTATGATTTTGTCCCGCCTTTAACTAAAAATTTTTTTTTAATATTTCAAGTTGATTTCTGTCAGCATACCATGAAATGAAATCATCTGCCGAATTAGAACCCACTCGAAGACCATCGCGCAGGAGCCTCTTACACTTGATATGAAACGACCGTGTATACATATGTATGTATATATGCATATCCGATGTCTTCCTAATGACCCAAAATATAATTTAAAACACTTAATTTTTTGGCAAAATCCTTGTGCTGCCGCTTCTTCTTATCGCACATTACAATGCATTTTTGCAGCATTGCAGCTCATTTACACAACCGACCAACCTATCAACTACATGTACACGTATATGTACATATACATAACGGACTAGCTGTTTTGCACTTTTTCTGCTGTCATTTCCTTTGCTGCACTGCATTAATATTACAAACGGTATAATTAAAATGTGAGACAAAAAGGCACAGCACATAAGCACACACATACACACATACACACACATCTGCATACTCGTATACGCACACATGCATAGAAGTTAGTGTTTTGCTAGTGGCAGTGCAAGGATTTCCTGTTCATTGTCATTTTGTTCTTCTTCTTTTACAGCGTCATTCACAGCAGAAGCTCCCCTCACATCTTCTGCCCCACATGAGAGCTTAGCTGTGCTGAGCTGGGTTGAGCTGGGTTGAGAATATCATCATGGTTTGTGCAACATTCAACTTACCTTGTGCTTGTGCCATTCGCACGCTTCCGCTTGCCGTTAGTAGAATGCAGTATACCGTGAGAAACTGACAAAACAATGACAGTGTGGCTCTAATGGTGTTGGTGGAAGTGGAAGAATGGCGAAGGGTGACGTTGGCGGTGACGTTGGCGGTCTTGGTACTGCAACTGCCCTGTAGACGTCTCAGGTGTGGTTGTGGTGAGATTTTTGTGTGTTTGCTGGTGTTAATGTTGCCGTGGTTTTTGTATTTATTATTGTTGCTGTTATTGCATTTGCTGCCATGCAGCGGATACGGAAATGGCGCCATTTGTGTTGGTGACGCCATAACGGTGCGAAAATTGCAATACAAATGTTGCCCGTGTGCTGTGTGCTGTGTGTATGTGTGTTAGTCGTTGGTGGAAACTGCAAAGAAATGTAAAAAAAAGTAAATAAATTTTATAAGACTCGGAATTTTCTTTTTTTGTGCACTAAAATAAGTGAATTTTGCCAAAAATTTCAATAACTGCATATTTCCCTCTTTTCCATTTTTTTTGTGAGCGAAAACTTCGCGTCGAACGTGCAGAGTGATGTAATGGCGTCGCAAAGCTAACTAAAGCTACAAAATGCGTTATACATACAGAGACATCGTGTTACGCAAACACTATGTATTGCGTAACAATTTTGCGCACAATAAATTTTCCATCAATTTTACTAATTAAAAAGTTGCCACTTAACAGAATGGCAGAGGCGGACTGGGCCGAGCTGCGCTGCGACATCAAAAAGAAATAACGGTAAAATAAGTAGGGAAGAACGAAGTTCGCTTGACATTAAACAAAATATTCCGCTCAAATTTTAAGAGTCCAAAAATCGGCTTCAGACTTCCAGATCACAGAAATGTTTTCCAGACGGATGTTACTGGTGTTAAAGAGGTGTGGGACTCATTTGTTCGGATCAGGTTTTCTAAGAGAGAGCTCTGTGTTTATTTAAGCTCACTTATAAAGCTGTCAAACAGAAATCTCATTCTCACTCAGTAGTAGTTGACTATTAAGCCTATATGCATACCAAACTTTAGTGACAGAGCTGGGTATCATAAGAATCATTGCATTGCGCAACTGCCTTTGCTTTTTGCAGACAAGAAGATGGCTCGAGCTGGGTGAGCTCGTTTGGATGCAAAGTTCCTCTGAACAGCTACTCCAATACTGCGTATTAAGGGTTTACAAATTTACCCGCTCTAAGCCATGTCTATCGATCCAAGTATCAACTGAAAGTAAGACCTCTTGCGAAAAACAAATACTTTACAAGACTCTCATCATTCACGACCTACTTTTCGGTGCAGAAATATGGAAATCGCCAACACCCGATGAGCCCTTGACAGTAAGGTTTTGCGAAAAATGTATGGTCTTCTTACGTTGGAGCGATAAAGTATTTGTGATATATAAGCTTAAACAAAATTTACATATCAAATGAACAGACAGCGGCTACGCTAGCTATGTCTCGTCGTCTGGATGAATTCAAGGCATTAGTCCCTGGTCGGAGTAGAAAAACATACAACTGGCATTGAAAAGAGAAGTTGATACGCCTGCCATAAGAGGCTACTAGAATTCGAACAGTTTCTGCGTTAGTCAAGTTCTTATACCGGAACCAATAATTTGGCGGTTGCAACAACAACATCAATAAGTACAACCTAAATCAATTTTACTTGTAATATGCACCTTTCTCCCAAGGCTGGATCAGTTTCTAGGCACGCTCTCATATTTTCATAAACGGCATTCTGTTAACCCAATGTGTTTGCAACCCTTGCAAATTTAAGGAGGGAACGAATTGATTATTTTGAATTCAAGATTGGATCAACTAATTTCTGGGACTATGAGCTCAAAATTTCTTCTCATTTCATGACTTAACCAAATAGACTTGATGAATAGATCGTAAGACAGAGTGTCAAGGCTGTTCTGGAAAAAGATTTTGAGATCAAAATTTTAGTACCGTAGTCTTCTAGTTGCACCATGTACAAGCGCAAAATGAAAAAAAAACTGTCACGTAATGAAATTGAAGGACGGAAAGTAGAGCACATACACCCAAACTGACTAACACTAAAATTTCCGTCACTCCATTGTTGGCTTTTGTTTTCGTAGTATTCTCAATCAGCGAAATGACTAGTCCTAACACAACGCTACCGATTCTCCGCCCCACTAAGTTATTTCATCTTCCGCCTTTTCCACCCGCCTGCATAAATGAATTATGAAATAATTGCTTTACGTAAAACGCTTTGCAAAGCCACTCAGCAACACTAAATTCCAGCTTTACTCTCCAGGCTTCGTCATTTACATCCACTGCCACGCCATGCCCACCACCACCAGTTCCACTGTAGTTTGCCAACATTGCATGGTGCAAAATTTTAACAACGCTTTCAATAATTTAAATGTTAATGCTACACTTAAACTGCTTAACGCTCTGTGTGCACTGTGAGCTCATTCCGCACTTTGCTTCTCTACCAGCATGCAGCTACTTTGGCTGTGTCCACTGTCGTTGATCCGGCATTGAATTGTGCTAAGCACCATTTAACCATTGCTCCTTCCTTCCATTATGCCGCTGGTATTTTATTGTTGTAACATTGTTGCTAGTTACTGCATTGGCTTTGTTTTGCTCAATTTCTGCCTCTCTGTCTCTCTGTCTCTCTGTCTTCATTACTCCACGCGCCGGTCCATTTCTTATCACTGCCATTTGTTCTGTCTTTGATTTTCTTGAGTTGCAAATGAGAAAAGTTGCCGGGGTTTCAATGAATGGAAGAAAATATTAAAACTGCAATGGCAAGCGTAGTGACGCAGTGGCTGAGGATTTTACGCCAGTTGCCCGCTGTGCTTTACGGACTGTCGCCATTCAGTCAACTGCTTGTGCTGCGTACTGCCATAGTTACAGCCAACGCTGCCTCTGATTTCACTTTGCGTTCCATGCGTCAACATTTTAATTACAGAATAACTTGTGAATTTTTCTTTGCTTGCACTATTTGCTATGCGTTGCGATTCTAGGAGACAGTTGCACTGTGGGTTTCTCAACTTGATTTCTATTCACAGCTAATGAAAGCTTCTTCACAATTGATGAAAGCTTCATTTACTGAAAGCTTCATTTAATGAAAGCTGCAGAATTTAAAATCTTCTAAATTTGTTTGTTTGAATGATGGAATGTTCCTTTGATTATAGTTTCCAAACGTAAAAATCTCGAATTGTGAAAGCGTCAAGTTTTAAAAGCTTTATGTAATGGAAGCTTCCAAATTTGAAATAAATAGTATAGGCTTAAGGCTATGAATGGTTGGTTCTAACCGTGTAAGATATCGATTGAGGCACAATTTTAAAGTGTGAAAACTTCAGATAACGACAGTTGAAATTTTTGAAACTTCAATTTTGCATTGATGAAAGTTTTAAAATGTAAATACTTTTTATAATGAAATTTTCAAGGATTCAAATTATTGCATAAGCTACAAAGTTTTAATGGTTGATACTAGCTAAGTGTTCAAATGAGACATAATCAGAAACGGTGAATGCCCCAAAACGCTTTCGCTTCTAAATGTAAATAGTAATATTTGTGCACGCTTCAAAGTAAAGAAACTATGCTATTGTAAAAGTTTTTAAATAAGAAAGCTTTCAATATTGAGGATTTCGATATGCAAGATACTTATAGTATGAAATCTTCGTAAGATAAAGGCTTTTGTTGATGAAAGCGTTAAAATCTAAAAACTTTTTTTTGAATGCCTACTTGTGAAAGTCCCAATAGTGAAAAGCTTCAAATAACGGAAGCTTCGAAATGTGAAACTTTTAATTATGAGATTAAATCTTTACAAATGTGATCCGAGTATATTAAATGAATAGTGCTTATAGTATGAAATCTTCGATTAAAGCTTTCATTACTATATCTAGTTGTGAAAGCCCTAATAGTGGAAAGCTTTTAATAATGGAAGCTTCGAAATGTGAAACTTTCTGTTATGAGATTAAATTTAAGGGGCGGAAATTAATTAATAGTGTGGAAATAATAGAAGATCGCCGATATAAACCTGAAATTTTACCAAAAACTCTGTCCTCTTCAAGCCGATTGAAGACAGAACCCTTTCGCGTTGCATGACATTTCCAAAGTTTCATCTGCCTATGTTATCTTTTATTTATTTTACTTATACGTGAGAGCTAGGCTTTTAAATTCACATTAATCTCTTCAATGAGAAAATGTTCTACATCACCTTTCAGAATTCTCATTAATAACGGATGAAGTGAAGCCCACTGTGCCAACCATTTAAACACATCAAAAGCACTAAAAATGCGATCCGCACAAAGCGTAACACAGTAGCAGGAACTGAGAAATTCTATTAACTTATGAAATTACAAGAGAAATGAAAATTTATAACAAGAAGTCATTAAGTCACAAGGAATTAAAAACTAAAAAGTCACATTTTCCACTGCTAAGGAATGAGAAGACAAATAAAGTTGACGGTTGGAGGAAAACTGAAGAAAAGAATATTTATCATTAAAAGCGAAAATGTACACTCCTTCTTACACACACACATATACATATATAAAAATATACAGTTAAAGTAACTGAAAAGTGCGCAGTTATAGAAAGTCGTCAAGAACGAAATAAACAAATCAATGCATATGTAATTGTATGAACTCGCGCATGTGTGTGTGTGTGACAGGATATGAGGCAGAATTGCAAAGAAAAACAGCGAACTTTATTTCAACTGCATTGTGAAACAATTACGCACATATATACTCTCTCACATTCATACATTTGTACATATACAGAGAGTTTAATGCATATGTATGCATGTTTGTATGTATGTATGTACATAATACATTAGTTGGCTGCCTGACAGACAGACTGGCTCTGACTGCGAGAGATAGAGAGAGCAAGAGGGAGACAAACACCATAATGGAAATGGATGATTTTGACTTGGCGTGCGACTTTTAGGCGACAATCTTAAAGTCTTTTTCAATTTTCAGGTATATATGTAAATAAATAGTAGACTAGTACATCCTGCCGCCTAAAAAACTGTACACAAATTATTGGAAGCTTTTTGTATGGAATCGTCAATAAATTGTGAAAATTGTAATTCTATAAAATCATCACGAGATTTAAGTTTCAAATAAAAAAATATGCGAAATCTCCCATCGCACAATGAAAATGCTCTATATATAAAAAGTTTGTAGCTTTGCCTTGCTTTGCGAAAGCTTTGTAAGGTCAAAGCTTATAATTGGTAAGACCTCTAAAAGCTAACTGCTAAAAACTTTAAACAATGAAGGCATTGAATATTTAAATATCAAAGTTTTGTGAAAGCTCGTTAGAAGAAGAAGTTCGTTGCTG